ACTCAAGAGTGAGGGTGCCTCTTCGACCACTTCAACAGTAGAAATAGAACCAGCGGACCTGATGCAATCTCTGCCTGTTAACCGGCCAGGAACTTGGGCGCTGTTCACAGTGCAAGGAAGCTTTCATAAGGAGTGTTTCCCACCCCAACCGTTTGTTTCTCAAGAGCAATCTTGTACATCAGGAGGCACCATCAAGGTTTAGTTTTAGTTTTCCATAGCACACCGAGATCTCCACAGGACGTCCTAGGACTCAGGGCCCCTCCATCTGGCTGTACTGACTCTTCTAGAGCTCAGGATATGAATTGAAGAATGTTCGTATGTCAAGTCCCGCCTGAAGATTCACTCTGGGGCTGACTTCCCTTCTCATAAGCATTGTTGTAGAAAACATGCCCTCTGAGGATCTTTCTTGTAGTGGGGACTGGACAGAGAGCCTCATGCATAGTAGGCAGGCTCCCTACCCTGAGCTCTATCTCCAGTCCTGTGATCCTGACTGGAGTCTTGCCTTTCTCCCTGGACTTGGAGCCATTGCTGGACTGTGATTCCTAGAACAGTCCTGTCCAGTCTGGGGGCACTACCTGCCTCCACTGATTGGAATTCCTACGTTCCCAGCCCTCAAGGTGACAACTTTCCACACATGAAGTGGCCTCACAGGACACCCAAGAGTCAGCTTCAGAAGGCTCAGGGGACAATGACATTTGCTTATCCAGTCCGGTGCTTCGAAAGCATGGTCCCTGGGCTACAGCCTCTGAGAGCCCCACCTGGGAGGCCCTCCCAACTTCACCTCCACAAGTCCCCAGGTGATTTCAGTGCTGATGAGGGAAGAAGGCAGGACTTCAAGGAGGCCTTGCTGGCATATGCTGCTCTTACCTTCCGGAGATTCAGACCCACTCCCCAAGAAGACGGAGGTGATCAGACTCAAACTCCAGGGTGTCCTGCTGTATCCCGCCCCACATCCTAGAAGGAAAGCCACATATCCTATTGCGAGGGACCCTGTGCAAAACTGATCCAGGGAATCCAGAGCTGGAGGTAAGGTAAGGTTTTGGTTTGAATTTTATGCATCCTGTAATATATACGCACATATAGAACACATATCTACACAGAGAACTTCAGATTATCTGGAAAGTTGTCAGAATAAATTTTTCCTCTAGTTGTTTTATATCTATTGGCTCATGTGCTGGACAGTGTCCAGTCGATTCTCAGAAATACCATGTCAGAAATATCTGTTGACAGAGGGACCTGAGGCTAGCAGGAGGCTTTGCGTTTCTGTTCTCCCACTGACCTGGGGTTTGCATAATGCTGAATACATGGTTTTAATTCTGATCGCGAAATGGAAAAATGCCAAGTAAGTACCTGGAAAAGGAATTTTGATTAGAATAATCACCCCATTTTATGGGCTCCGAGCAAAAAGTATAGAGAAATCCATCTCAGAAAGTTCCCCACACTGATTGCGATCAGAACCACCTAGATGGCTTTAGAAAGACCTTGGAACCCTTGCTACCAACGGAGACCCAGGAGTTCAGTGAGCTGCAAGCATTCTTCGGCCAGCAGGTAGCAGAGACAGGCTCTGAACCAGATTGCTTGATAGCCAAACCCTAGTCCTGGTTCACGACCCTAGCTCACAGAGTTCAAAAGTCAGGTGGCACCCAAGTAACATGGTAGACACACCAGGAGAGCATGCTGGTCCCTACTGACTTCCTTCCCTGTGGAAATACTTGTCACAGTAAGAATGGTGTTCTCCCGGTTGGGCCACTTCAGGATCCACTTCGCTGCCATGCTGACCTCAGAGAGGAACCCTTTGGGACCCTTCTTACCAAAGCGCTTATGAGACATTTTAAAAAGAAAAGTGCAGGGCTGGGAGTGTAGCTTACTTGGGAGGTTCAAGCGCCAGTGTGATGACATGCACCCATCTCCCCAGCACTGGGAAGGTAGAAGCAGAAAGATCAGAAGTTTAAGGTCATCCTCAGTTACATAGGTTGAGGTCAACCTAGGCTATGAGATCCTGTCCCCAAAATGAGGAGAGAGCAAGCTCACATATCAGCCAATTGCTTGTAGTTTTTTTTTTAGGGGGGTAGGTGGCGGTAGTGGGGTTCAAGACATAGTTTCTCTGTGAAACAGTCCTAGTTGTCCTGAAACTCACTCTGTAGACCAGGGTGGCCTCAAACTCACAGAGATCCACCTACCTCTGCCTCCCAAGTGCTGGGATTAAAGGTGTGCGCCACCACTGCCCGGCTGCTTGTAGATCCATACTGCTAAGCTGGCCCTTGTTTTCTCAGTTCTGAATCAAAAAGCATAACTTTCCTTGTAATGTCTTACACGTATTTATCTTGCATATGTGTATGTGGGTGCGCCCACGCCACGCTGCACACATGGAGGTCAGAGGACAGCTCGTAGGAGTCAGTCCTCTCCCCCCACCACGTGGGTTCCAGGAATCAAACTCAGGTCACCAGACATCTTAGTTACTATGATAAAAAACACCATGACCACGGCAATTTATAGAAGAAAGAGTATCTGGGCTTATAGTTCCTGGGGGCTAGAAGTACATCAACGGGGGCAAAGCAGCAGGTATAGGAACTGGAGCAGCGAGCTGAGGGAGGGGTCAAGATGTTCTTGAGCCACAAGCACGAAGCAGAAACAGCAAGTGGAAATGGCTCCACTGCCGAAGCTTGCCTCCAGGGGCTGCTTCCTCCGACAAGACCACACCCCCTTAACCTCCACAAACAGTACCACCCGCTGAGGACCACGTGTCTACGTGGAGACATTCTTGTTCAAAGCCCAGGTCAAGCTTGATGGCAAGAATTATTACCTTCTGAGTCATTCCCCTGGCCCCTTTCTCTTCCTTTTTATCTCTTTCAAACATCAGCAGAAGGAAACCTCAGCTTGCTTTCCCTGACACACGGCTTCCTCGCGGTTTCATCGAATACCTCCCTGTCCTGTCCTTTCCACAGCTGCTTGCCAAACTCCGTGACTGACTTAAAAGGCACGACTTTCCCTCTGTTCTCCATCCCCTTCTTCCTGGCAGCCTCCTGCGTTTCTAGCTTGTCTGGCCTGTGTTTTCTTCTCAAATGCTGCTGCAATTGTTCTCAGGTTTCAAAAAAGAAAGGAAGGAAGGAAGGAAGGGAAAAGGAAAGAGAGGAAAAGTTCTGCCTCCTGGCATCTGGTGGGGGTGGGGCTGTAAGCTGCCACACCCCTTCATACTTACAAACTCTGCTCCTTCCTAGGCCAGTGTCCTTGGACAAATTGCTTACCCTCCCAGTTTCTCAGTTTCCTCACCTGAACAATCGGGATGATGAAAGCCTGAAAGCCGCTGTCGCCAAAGGTCTGTGGAACACTAGGAACACGGTGATCACGTGTGCAATGCTCAGTCACATCAGCACGGCTTTCACACCACGCTGAGGCTCAACATTTTGCCACCAGTTACCAGATAGTAATCCAGAGCTAGCACAGAACCCAGGTTTCCTGGTCTCTGTAGAAAGGTCCCATTGTTTGATATCACCACTGAAGATGTCCTGTCTTCTGCCATCGGGGCCACCCAGTGGATGCCCAGCTGTGTCTACTTCCACGATCTCCACTAGATTATTTTTCTGTGTGTGTATCTGTGGTGTGCCTGTGTGTGTGTGTGTGTGTGCGCGCGCGCGCGTGCTGTTGGACTCTAGTGTCCAACCCAAGAAGGAGTCGCCCCCAGAGACCACCTCATACACCACAGCCGATGCAAAAGCATGAGGATTTTATTAATTCTGTCATGACAGGGTCCCCCAGCATTCGGGAAGCTGAGAGACCCCAACTAGCTGGTACAGTCTACTTTTAAAGGAGAAGGCCCCATAGAAACAAGAGGGGTTGTTCCTTGACCATTATGATTGGCTTATTCGAAACGGGCTAATACCAATAATTGACTGGAGAACTATTGTCAGATCAGATGAGGTAAGAGGTCATTTTGACCCCGTTTCCCAGGGGACTGAATCAAAACATACGTGTATGGGTAATTGTTCAGGAACTGAGTACGTGCGTGTGGAGCTGTTAGGTCCTTGGTTCCCAGGGGAGGAGGGGAAGCACTGAGGCACAGAGGCTGAGAGGGTTTGGAATTGTCAGAAATGGCTTCAGAATTGTCTTAAAGTCTTACACGCATACATTGCATGCCTGCCTAGTGCCCACAGAAGCCTGAAGAGGGTGCCAGATTCCAAGGAACTGGATTTACTTATGGCTGAATTTGCCATGTGGATGCTGGGCACTGAACCTGGGTCCTCTGCAAGAGCAACAAGTGCTCTTAACTGATAAGCCATCTCTCCAGCCCCATTTGTATGTGTTTTAATTATTGATTTTATATTTTGTTTTGATTCTTTGCTTACTCTGTTTTTAATTATAAAACTAAAACTTTTTATCTGTAAAGGTAAACATAGTAATAGTAGGGCTGGAGAGATGACTCAGCAGCGAGTTTGTCTTACAAGCAGGAGGATCAGAACTCAATCCCCAGCACCCATGGGAGCATCTGGGAATGGTAGTGCAGTTAAGTAGGGGCTCTAACATTGAACAAAACAAAGGAGTTTGCTTCCGTCCTACACACATGGTTGCACCAGTAATGGAGGTGCCAGACCCCAACAACCCAGGGCAAATAATTCGCCAACATTTTGCAATACAATTTAAAGAAATGAAGCAATTGAAGGAAGCTGTAGCTGCATATGGGGCTCAAGCACCCTTCATGTTGGCCATGGTAGAATCTTTCTCCACTCTGAATTTAACACCAAATGATTGGCTGCAATTATGTTGTGCTGTCTTATCTGGGGGAGATTATCTCCTATGGCGAGGGGAATATCAGGAAAATTGTAAGCAAACAACCCAGTTAAATGCTCTAGCGGGTCAAGGTCAATGTAATCTAGATATGTTAACTGGGGCTGAGGCTTATGCTGATTTGCAGCAACAAATTCTGTATGATCCAGGTGTATTCGCCCAAATAGCTGCAGCTGCCACTAAAGCTTGGAAGGGCCTACCTAACAAAGCAGCTGGGGATCAATTATCGAAAGTTTTACAAGGACCATCTGAACCATTCCAAGATTATGTAGATAGACTGTTACAATTAGCAGGTAGATTGTTTGGAGATGTGACAACAGTCATGCCTATAATAAAGTGACTTGCATTTGAAAATGCCAACAAATATTATAAGGAAGCCTTACGCCCTCACAAAGCAAAGAGTTTAAATGAATAGATCAGGATATGCAGAAATATAGATGAGCATTTCATTCAAGGCCAGGTTATAGCGGCAGCTATTCAACCTTGGGAGAAACATACGAGGACAGGGACTTGGAACTGGAGGCTGCAATTGTTTTAATTGCAGAACTGCTGGTCATTTTCGAAAGGAATGCCCACAGCTGATGAGGGGAAGCAGGAAACCTGGCATGTGCCCTAGATGCAGAAATGGAGTGTGTTGGACTAATGATTGCCTCTCCAAAACAGATATAGATGGGAAACCCCTGCCACCTACCATTAATCAACAGCAGGGAAACTGGCAGAGGGCCCTGCTCCAGGGCCCCAAAACCTCAGTGTGTGGAACAATGACCACGGGACCGCAGGAACAGTACCCCAGCAGAGGCCGTGTCCAGTTCCTTCCACAGAGCAATCCTTTTGCATTGCAGACCTTGTCAGAGCCACACCAGGGAGCACAGGATTGAACCTCTGTGCCTCTGCCAGAGCAGTCTTAACTCCACAAATGGAAGTGCATGCACTCCCTACAGGAGCATATGGGCCCTTACCACCAGGTACCATGGGATTTATATTAGGCAGAAGCAGTACCCTTTTAAAGGGGATCCAGATACATCCTGGGATAGTAGATGCAGACTATAAAGATACACGAGCCCGTGGCAAGCAAGGGTTCGGGTCCCCTGGAACGGCTGCCTTCTGGGTGGCACAGTTAAGTGAACGGCCCCAACTTAGAATAACTATAGAGGGAAAGGGCTTTGATGGTGTATTAGATTCTGGGGCGGATGTATCAGTTTTGTCCTTAAAATATTGGCCAAAGGCACGGCCCTTGGAAGAAGGTACTGCACGGCTGCAGGGAACAGGTCAGACAACTCCTCAAGAAAGTTCAAAAATATGAAATGGCATGATGAAGAAGGACATGAGGGTTTTTCCAGTCATATGTTGATTTAAAGGATTGCTTTTTTACTATTCCTTTGCATCCTGATGTTTGCTTTCGATTTGCTTTCAGCCTACTCTCTATTAATTTTAAAGAACCTGCATTACGCTTCCATTGGGTCGCATCACCCCAGGGCATGTCAAAGAGCCCCACTATATGCCAGTCTTATGTGGCAGCAGCACTACATCCTATTACACAGAAAAACCCCAATCTTTATATAATTCATAATATGGATGATATTCTATTGGCCGTTAAATGTCTGGAAAAAGTGCGTAATGCTTTTGCTGATATGCAACAAGCCCTAGCAGCTGCCGGATTGATTATTGCACCAGAAAAGATTCAAGCCATGCCTCCGTATTCTTATCTGGGTTATATTTTGCAATATAAGGAGAAATTAAACCACAAAAGTTGCGGTTTGATTGTGCTCATCTTAAAAACTTACATGATTGGCAGTGTTTTTTGGGTGACGTGCAATGGATGATTAGACTCTATATTTATTATCAACTGATGCAGTGATTGACAGCCATTATCCCCAACATTCATTGTTAAGTTTCTTTAAAAGCCATCCTGGTTATCTTTCCACGAATAGTAAAACCTAGGCCTCTGGTGGGAGCTCGAACAGTTCTTACAGACGGTTCCCCAAAAGGAAATGCTGTGGTCGTTTCTCAAGGCCTAGTATCCCAAACACCTGTTGGCAATGTCTCTACTCAAGCAGCCGAAATAACAGCCTGTATTCTAGCATTACAAATGTTTCCTGACGAGTCAATTAATTTATATACTGATAGTATTTACTTGTCTCAAATTATTTCTCCTTTAGAGACCACTCCTTATTTCTCCTGTGTCCCGTATACAACAATAATTATGCTGTCTGCAATATTTATTATGGTCCAGGCGGGATCCTATTTTTGTGACTCATATTAGAGGTCATACTCAATTACCTGGACCCCTGGCCAAGGGTAATCAGCTCGCAGATGCATGTTCCTGAATATTATTTGCCAGCCCCAAAGAAAAGGCTTCTAAATTCCATTAAAAAAAAAAAAAAGTCACTTAAATGCTCGTTCCCTGCAGCACCATACTGGTTGCTCCAGAGCCACCGCCTTACAAATCACCACCCAATGTTCCGCCTGTGCTCCTTTTTATAATACACCATTACTGGAGTTAATTCTTGTGGTCTTAAACCGAATGACATTTGGCAGATGGATGTTACCCACCTACCCTCGGCTGGAAAGCTGAAATACATGCATGTTTCAGTTGATACTTGCTCTAAAGTAGTTTTTGCTTCGCTGCATAGTGGGGAGAAAATGAAGGATGTGATAGCTCATTGCCTACTGGCTTTTGCTTATATGGGCTTACCTAATGTTACTAAAACAGATAATGATCCTGCATACACTAGTGGAAAATTTCAAACTTTTTGTGCAAATAATGATATTAAACATATTACAGGTATTCCATATAATCCTACCGGACAAGCTATAGTAGAAAGAAGGCATATGGTTCTAAAATAGTATTTCACAAAAATAAATAGGTGGGAGTATATTCTCTCTCCCAATACATAATTGGCATCTATTTTATTTATTCTAATTTTTTGAACTGTGGATTGTGAGGGTCACTTGGCCTTGGAAAGACATTGGAATAAAAGTTCTCAGTCCTTAGGATGGGTACAAAGGAAAGACCATGTTACAGGACAGTGGTAGGAACCCACGCCCCTGTTGGCTAGGGTGAGAGGAGCTGTTTGTGAACAGTCCCAAACTTCTGCATGTACTTCTTAATGTTCTCCTTGGTTTTGTGTTTCATGTTCGCATTGCACTCCAGGTCCTCGGGTTCTTACAGAACTTCAGATCCTTATTCATGACTCATGAGTCAGCTTTCGAGCGAGGTGTTTGAAATCTTCAGTTGTGGTGATTCTGCCCCCCTTGCAGTCAGGTTTGTGGTAAGGACTCAGGCACTGGACAATGAACTGAGACATCTCCTTTCTGAATACTTCCTTGCTTTTCTTTGCCAGCTCACTGGAAGTGTCTGCTTCTGCTGTCTTGGGCTTTTTTGATGTCTTCATGGGGTTTTCATCATATGTTGGGGTTCCCAGGTCCATCTCAGCTTCATGCTCAAGGTTTGCATCATCTCCTGGGCTCTCCCAAGTGGAGGATCCCACTGAGTCTGCCTTGTGATTACATGGTAGTAATAGATCTTCCCCTCAGGATCTCGGGCTGTCTTCCAGTTGGGAGTTAAAAGAATGGTTTTTGGTTTGTTGTGTGTGTGTGTGTTTTTTAAGTATTCCTTCTTTCCTTTCCCAGCCTTCTTTGATTCCCCCTTCCTGATCAGACATCTCAAATTTTCTTTGAGATTTTCAATTGCTTTTTTACTTAGGAGGTCCTCTCTCTTTTATGTCACTTTCTCAAAGTTTTCTGAAAAATCTTTCCTTTCATTCGTAACTAAAGAACCCTTAGTTGAATTGCTGCTTATTTCAGGTGTGTTAAGCGGTGTGTGATTGGAATCCAGTCCACAAAGTATGCAGGATCCCCAACCTGGCCTCAAGATGGACCCTACAGAAAGTACATTCACTGAGGAGGCTCCTTCCTCCGAGTCCGCGGGTTCTTCCTCCCAGTCGGTAGGTCCTCCAGGCTGAACCCAGAGCCTTCACCCACAGGAGAGGCACTCGCTGGATCCAGAATGCTCTGGTCACTTTTCTCCTGCTCCTGATGTGTGGTCGACATGGTGGGAGAGCTCAGAGCGCCCTTCATTACCAATGTGACTTCATCGAGGTTTTTCATCTGCTTCTTAACCCTCTCGATCATTACAGACACATTGGAATGACCCATGGCAGCCAGCACCTGGCCAGGAGCCTTGCTCATCTCTGACATATTCTCATTAATGTCACAGCTGTCTGCTCCTTGAAAGCTACTTCACCCACACAGGACGCCATCCAGAGGCAATTTACACAAATATTCCTCTTTTCGATAGCAAGTTCAGAATAAACTCAGGCACACATCAGGTGTTTTAGCTGGTGGGCCTTTCTTGTCGGGAGAAGCGCCACCCTACGTCTCTGAGTTCTTCTGATGAGTGCAAGCCATCATCCACATGGGAAATGTCACAAGAGGAAGAGAAGTTTAGCTCTGCTTTTCCTGGTGCAGTTCTGTTCTACAGTTTTAGTAATGAGAATGCAGGTGTCTTCTGGTGCAGGCCAGCACAATAAACTCCAGAGCTTATCTCAGGCACCCTAGTGTTGACCCGATGGTTTTATTTATAACCAGCTGTGATGTTACCTTTTCGCAGAATGTCCTAATGGCAGCTTTTAGAAGACTAATTTAACCAGGTTTACACATGGTACCAAAATACTGGTTTTGTAACTTTCTTCCTATTTCCAAAAGTCATGTTGAAATTAAGGTGGAGTTTGACTATGGTAGTAGACTTCCGGTCCTTTTCTGGTGTACCTTTTTTTTAAAGTACAGGCACATAACACTAGCCAAAGATTATACCTTGATGACATTCCCAATAGGCAGATATGCTGCAAACATGCAGCAATTTAATTCATTTAATTTGGCACATGGAACTAAATTTTGTTCCCAATATCTGTGTATTTCAATTTGTTGTGCAAATTTTTGTCCAATTTTACGAGGGGAGGGCATAACGGCACAACTGGTGGAACTGTCTGTGAATGTGGAGACGTCACACCATAGACAGCTGAACATGTCTGTCCTTGACAATAGATGGTTGCTTGAGACTGTGCAGGAGAGTACTGCTGCTGTACACTGACAGACTGTTGGTTTGAATCCCAGACACGATAATTCTGTCCCTGGACTGGGCCTGGGCCTGAAGCTTGTGCTGGCATTACAGGGACATTGGAGTCTTGGTGTGCCACCACACTTTCATTCTGAGCTACATACTGTGAACTGGAAACTTCCACAGAGGCTGCCACAAGTGGCACCACTGGCACTGATGGAGGAGCAGCAAGGGATCCACACACAGGCACATAGAAAACAATGTGCATGTATACTTACATATATGCACATATCCATTCTTTTTAGAGTAGCAATAGTGAAAACAATAATGTAAGGGAAACCTTTTAATAGTCAAATCCTTCAGTAATCCTACTACATTTGGCACAAATCTTTGCTGTGGTTTGATACTGTGAGCACACAGCATCACACAGTTCTTTGTTTTTTGTTTTTCGAGACAGGGTTTCTCTGTGTATCCCCGGCTGTCCTAGAACTTGCTCTGCAGGCCAGGTTGGCTCCAAACTCGGAGATCTGCCTGCCTCTGCTCCCTAGTGCTGGGATTAAAGGCGTGTGCCACCATCTCTGGCACAGTCCTTGTCATAATCTGTCCCATCCTGCAAGTCAGAGAGGCCCCTGGACCCAGCTGCTTCAATAACATCACCTCTGACCACCATTTGGCTGCAGGGCTGCGATCTCAGCATTGCGAACATTCTGACCCTGAGCCAGGGTGCATTCTGAATAGGTAGCTTTCCTGGTTGCTATGTGAGATCCAAAGCTAGACTGGGGCCTCCACAGTGCAGCTCCCACCCACTGTCATGCTGTTTTCTCCTGCACAAAGCAGCTCTACCTTTCCACTGGCTGTGCTGACCTCAGAAGGGGCAGGGTCTAGCAGGTGAACACTCAGCGAAGGGGTGCCAGTCATTTCCTCTGGTGGAAACTTTGAATCTGCTTAAGCTGTTTAATCCAGGCAAGTCTGGATGTGGTTAAGCCAAGGCAAAGATCCAGAGTGGAGAACTGGACCAAGATCCGAGCAGTCGCTATGCTCCCAACAAAGGCAAAATCTGGTGTATTGAAGTCAAGCCTATGGCCATTCCAGAAGCTGGTGTTTCAAGCTTTGGAAGAAGGTCCAAATCACTGCAGGAGAGGCAAGAGGGAAGGCAGTATTCACAGCACAGGGGTTAAAGACTGCTCTATGGCACTTTGAGAGCGAGCTCCCTTCCATACACCCGGTGCCCAGGGCACAGGGAGCCACACTGACCTTGACTGTTAAGAGTCCTTCAATCTTTTTTTTTTTTTTAAGTAAAGGTAAAAAATAACCAAAAACACAGAAATCCCCCTGCCTGTACCTGCCAAGCGCTGGGATTAAAGGTGTGCATCACCACACCTGGCAGGAAACCAGCCTTATGTTTATTGATTAGCATCCTGGCCCACTTCTGTAGTTTAAAAGGTTCTCCCAGTCTGGCAAGAGAGCGGGTGGAAAGGACTTGCTGTGTGAGCCTGACCGGCAGCCCGAGGCCAGTCCCACGTCGAGTTCCACAAAGAAATCCTCTGACCTCATACACACAGCTTGCACGCACCCTACACACTCCCCGCCCCCCCCCCCCCTAGTGGTAGTTTTCAGGCTTTCTCTTGTTCCTTATTACTTTACTGTCTTTCTTAATTAACTGTCAGAGTCCTTAGCTGGACTGAGACCTAAACCCTTCCACTGAGGAGAGAGAAAAGAAGCTTAGGCCCCCAGAAGCACTTCCATCGTCTTTGCAACAATGTTGCCATCGGTTGAGGGTTGGACAAGGTTTTAGGGAGCATGACCACTGTGCACATCTGCGTCCACACACCCCTTCACACTGAAACCCTGGTTAAGCGCTTGTTTCTCCAAAAGACTCTCCTGGCAGCTACCTCCTCTTGTGGAGATTGTCAGAGGCCTCTGGCTGGGATTTCAGAATATTTAAAGTTAAAGTTCCGATAACTCAGACTCTAGGGTGAACAGACCTTTCACCCGGGTGGGTCTCAACACCGCCCAAAAGTTCTTTTATTCATTTGTAGTAAAAACAGTCTGTCTTCATCCTAACACGTCCACAGGAGAGTGCTTTCTGGAAGGAAGGAGCTGAGATCAGCACTGTGCTGCTGATTTAAGATTAAAGCAAAGAGGCCAGCTGCTGCAAGAAACACCGTTGCTGGGCCGGGCCATGGCCTGCTAACAAGTTCCCACTTTTCACTATCCAGTAATAGATACTTTGTTTTTGTTTAGAGACAGGATCTCCTTACAGCCGGATCTAGCCCCAAAGGCACTTGAGTAGCCAAGGATGACCTTGAACTCTTAGTCCTCCTTTTCACAAACTCCCGGATCACAGCTATACCCTACCCCCACAGGGCTCAGGTGTTATTTTTCCTATTTTATATGAGAAACAAGACCCTCACTCTGTAATATCAGATTCACGAGACTAGAAAAGGCCAATAGTTCTTAATATAAGATTCTGCAGACGAGGACTCCAGCAGGGTGTAAAGGCAGGCAGGGGGGGGGGGGGGGCGGGTGGGGCGCTTTTTTTGCTTAATAGCTTTTAAGGCTCCTAATTCCGTGAAATCCTCGCTCTCCTTTCCCCACAGGCTGGTACTTCAGAGAATTGCAATCCTCATGCCCTTCCAGCCTAGTCCCCTTCCCAACTCCCTGTCCCATGAGATCGGGATGCAAAGCCTTATGGGATAAACGTCCTGAGGCAGCAGATTGCCTGCTCTTCTCTAACTCCCCAGCCAGGAGGGGAGAAGCCCTGGAGTCTCCTCCTGCTTGTCTGTGATGCTCTCGTGAGTCCTAAGCGCATCTCACACCGTGGTCCATGACAATGCATTTTTACAGAAGAGAGTGTCCAATCCTCTGGAGCAGGTGTTGACAAGCAGCTGTGAGCCACCTCATGTAGGTTCTGGGAAACCAAACTTGGGTTCTCTTGAAAAGCAGCAATAGCTCTTCACTGCTGGGTCATTTTTCTAGCCCCAGAGACAGGGTTCTCCATGTAGCTCTGGCTGTCCTGGAACTCACTCTGTAAACCAGGCTGGCCTCTAACTCACAGAGATCCTTCTCTCTCTTTCTACTTTTGTGAGTCCTAGGGGACTGGAAGCAAGCTGTCAAGCTCACCTGCAAATGCCTTTACCAACTTGCTGGCCTGTTTCAGCATTCTTATCCGGGAACATCTGTACATAAAATAAATAAATACTCTGTGCCAGCAAACTTGATGCCAAGTGTTGTTACCTGTGCTGAATTTTTTAAAATTTAAATTGAATGTATATTGGTGTTTTGCTTACATGCACCGTTTGCTTACTGTGCACCGTTTGTGTACCTGGTTCTTGGTGCCTGCAGAGGCCAGAAGAGGGCACCAGGCACTGACTGGATCCAGTGGTTGAGAGGCACCAGGAGGGGACTGCGAATCAAACCTGGGTCTTCTGCAAGGGCAACCAGTGATCTTAACCACTGACCCATCTCTCCAGCCCTATATGCTGTGAATTCTTTATTCTTGACTGGAGAAAAACTTCCATTGGACCCTGGAGTGAAGGATTCTTCTCTTCTCATGTCTCCTTGATCTTTTGTGTCCCTCTATTCTATCTCAGTCAAACTATTGCCCAGGCTGGCTGACAAAACTTGCCAATCATGCCTCAGTCTCCAAAGTGCTAGAATCACAGGCATGTGCCACCACACGCAGCCCGGATGTACCATTTTAAAAGCTTCCAAAGCTCTCAGCCCCAGGCTCACCACTGGCATCTAACAGAGTGCTCTTGTGACTTGTTACTGCATAAACTATACTAAGGATAACTGAGAAAGAGAAGCCTCTTGTTATTCCCCCCAACACCACAATCAAATGTTTTCCTTTCTGTCTGGTCTTCACTAGATAAATACGTTTTTCTTATACATACCATCTCTTCTATCATGTGTCTGTCCCTCCCCACCACACCACCACCAAAAATGAAATACAGTGACCCTCCTGAGGGTCTGGAGATGGTGGAGTCCTCAGCTGGTAGAGTGCTTGCCTATAAGCACACAGCCCTGGGCTCCGCTCCAGTCCTGCATAAAGCAGGCGTGGCAGTACACACCTGCAATCCCAGTACACAGGAACCAGAGCAGAGAATCGGGCGTCTGAGGTCATCCTTGACTGCGTAGAGAGTTTCAGGCCTGCCTCCAACAGAGGCAATCTGTAAAATAAATAAGTAAATACACAAATACCTCTGAAGTAGACCTAACCTTAGGTTTCTGTCACTTGCCTTCTAATCAGCATTTAGAGGCTGATGTCACCACAAGAGGCTCCTTTGGTGCGTGAGGATGTTCTGAGAAAAACTGTGAAGGATACAGGGATGCGGGGTTCATGCCCCCAGGGGATGATACACAGTGGCAGACTACCGGGAAGACGGCTTTGGTCCTATCTTTCACACACATCCACGTCACTCGCTCACCAAAGGACTTTGAACTAGACGTGTCCTTAGGTACCATCCAGAGTTTGCACCTTACAGATAAGAGATACATTGACTTTTCCAGATAGGGAAGTGTCAATGACAAGGCTGGGAAGAACCCCAAGCCTCCTGAGTCCCCGAAACTGACGGATTTTCAGGGCCCTCTTCCTTATTGTACGTCTGTAAAGTTCTCTGAAGCAGAATGAAGCGATAGAGTTAGGAAGGAGGAGCTGGAATGGGACTGTGTCCTCAGAGTTCATAGGTTGCAAACTGGAGTCTCCAATCAGTACATCGATGATGCTTAGGGTGGGGCCTTCAGGGGGCACATGGGGATAGATGGGGTCATGAGAGCAGGATGCCCGTGACCTCACCGAGCTGTAAGAAGAGCAGGGTGGAGAAATGGCTCAGCAGTTAGAAGCACTGGCTACTCTTCCAGAGGACCCAGGTTTGAGTTTCAGCACCTGTACTGTCGCTCATAACTCCAGCTACAGTGTCTGTACCTGCAGTTCCAGGGGATCCCGTCGTCTTCAGTCACCAGGTACCAGCGTGCTGTACAGGCTGTGTACAGACAAAACATCCACACACGCAGAATTGAACTAGGAAGACGTAAACAAGAGAGAGCTGAGCACACGCGTACCCTCACCACTGCCGTGTTGCGATGCGTTGAGAAGGCCCTCATACCATGCTGGCACCTGCCATTGTACTTCCTGGCCTCCAGGACCACAGAGAATAAACTATGAATTACTGAGTTTGTGTTATTCTGTCATAACATCAGAATTTGAGACAAGAGGCTCATATAGTTGATTTACTGCAAAGGTTTTTTATTTCTGTTTCCTGTACTGTAAGTGTTTGAGTCTCAGTCTGTAACATTTAATGGAAATTGTTCCCACCAAAAGTGAGAAAATATGGGTTTAATCTGTTCGCTACAGTTTATGAGTACCGAGCCCTAGGCTAGCTTAATTTCTTTGAGCCTTGGTTTTATTTGAAAAAAACAGCAAAGTCCAAGAGTCAATGAAAGCTTGAGAATAGGTATCGAATGTTCTGTCCTTTGACCCAGTAGCCCCTCACTTCTGGAAATCAAATAATTCTGCATTGGAAAAACCACGTGCTCACCCCCTTGGATTTCAGCTCCTGTTTTCTGAGCCTGCCAGTGTGTGTGCCCTAGCTGGTGTGTGTCATTAGACATGGGCATTGCAGGGCTACAGGAAGGACTGCTGTCCACAGAAAAAAAATCTCCTTGTCTGGAAATATGCAAGGTGTCAGAGGCAGAAATCTGCCTCCCTCACAGCCCATTTCTTTCTGATATGTTGGTGTGTGTGTGTGTGTGTGAGAGAGAGAGAGAGAGAGAGAGAGAGAGAGAGAGAGAGAGCGAGAGAGAGAGAGACAGAGACAGAGAGACAGAGACAAAGAGAGAGAGACAGAGAGACACAGAGAGAGGATAATAAGTGTGAGGTTTAATTTAAGACCTCTGCAATGGTAACTGGGGGAGGTGTCTTAGTGGATAAAGCACTTGTCCTGTGAGGACTGGAGTTTGAACCCCAGCACCCACATAAAAACCAGGCAGTTGTCACTGCCGACCTGCAACCCCAGCAGAGACAGTGCTGATTGTGGAACCCAGCAGTATATCCTCAGTCCAACATGTTTCCCGTGCTGAAGACTGAATCCCGGGTCTCAGGATGCTAGGAAAGCTCTCTCACTGAACAATAGCCTAGCACATTTTTTTTTTTTTTGAGACAGGGTCTCACCATGTAGTCTTGAATTCACCGTATAGCCCAGGCTAGCCCAGAATTCTCAACCTCCCTGCCCCCTACCTCATCTCCTATATACTGAAGTGACAGTTGTGTGCCACCTCAACTGGCTCCAGTCTGTCCCATTCTGCAGTTTTGCACTAAGGGCTCCCGTGACCGGTGCTTCAGGATCAGTGAGTCAAACTCTGTATTATTTGTCTGGGTTTTTAAAAGTCCTTGTGAGTTTTTATCAAGTAAGACACTTAGTGGAGGCTGGAGAGAATGTGTATTAGATGGTTTGGCATGCTCTATCATCAAATATGTCCTTTGACTCTGGCATATTTATTTTACATGTGCAACGTGAATAAAATCTAGTCAAGGGCATTCCTTACAGCCTTTTTCTAATAGCCAAAGAATGGAAACTAGCCAAATCCTATCAGCAAGGGACTAAGTAAATCATGGAAGGTAGCCATCCAATGAACTGCTCCAAAGCTATTAACAAGAATGATATCCTGCTATGGACACATTTCAATATATAGTCACACAGGGAGTTTGGACCAATGGAACACATATATTATAACGTTCCCACAGCTTATATTACCCAGTGTCCTTGTCACCGTCTCAGCCTAAGTGAAGGTATTTCTGTGCTGACTTTACACAACAATGACATTTCACAATGACATAATGCTCAGCATAGGCTGCCCCTTTTAGTGATATTTTAAAAATGAGCAAAAGAAAACAGGGTATGTTGTGTAAAATGTTGTGTAAAAGGTAAAAGGCACAGTGGCGCTTGTACCATATACAGAAACTCTAGACAAACGAGCAGCCACATAGTGGAACGAGCAGAAGCTTCCAGAGCAAGCAGAAGTGTGTCAAAGTAGCAGGCACCCTGAGCACCGGAGAGCAGATGAAAGCAAGGGCGGGAAAGGAGAAGACTGGGATGGAAATGTGGGATGTGGGAAGACCTAGAACAATGTCATGTCCGTGTTCTTGTCTCTCACGTGGAAATGCGAAGGTTTGATGGGGTGGCTCAGTGATGACCCGAGGACCCTCTCAGGGACCCACATGATGGAAGAAAACAGCCCATCCTTCAAGTTGTTCTCTGACCCCCACCAAGTGTTATGGTGCCTGAGCGCTATACATCAAGACCTTGTCAAAAAGAGAAAGGAAGAAGCCGGTGAGAGGGTTCCGAGGGAAAAGGTACCTGCCGACCAAGTTTGGCAACCTGAGTTTGATCCCTGGAACACACACGGTAGGAGAAGAGGACCAGCTCCCATAAGTTGCCTTCTGACTTCCATATGCTCGCCGGGGCTCACACTTACTCCCCTGTACATAAACAAATATAATTTAAAAACTTAAGGAAGAAATCCTGGTCCATGCTATAATGACATGGATGAACCTTGGGGAAATTCTGCTAAGTGAAATGAGGCAGCCACTGAAGGACACACATGACAGGATTCAACCTAAGTGAGATGCTTCGTGTGGTCTGGTCCATGGAGAATGAAAACGGCAGAATGTGGAGAGACCAAAAGGAGAGAGCCCTAAGGATGGTGGGCAGAGAGAGGGATCGGATGAGGAACGAGAACTCATTTCCAGGCCAGTGTGTGATCCATATCTCCTCCCAGTAAGGAATAATTGGAGTCTTTGGGCCAACTTCAGGATAGTATGAAGGAGGAAGCTGAAGCCTGAGAGATGGAGAAACAGCTTCTGGAAGGTTCTAGGGTGGTTCTCCTTGATATTTCTAATTTTTAAAAAATACTGCCCAGTCATTGTATAATGTGTTCTCTTTACAACGGGAATACTGCGTCTGTTCATGGAAAAGTCTCTTTATTGAGTAATATAACATTTTTTTAAAAAAATCACAGCTAGGGAGAGACCTAACAATATATTTCAGGGCTTTTAGAAAAGAGCAACAGAGAACTCTTCAGTCTCGAGTCAGGGAGCCATGGTTCCAGCAGGCTACAGAGAAACAGGATGGTAAGGAGAGACCTAGGCTTGTTTTTTTATTAGTTTATTTATTTATTATTTATTGGGGGTGGCAGGCACATGCTCCACAGTGGAGGTCAGAGGGCA